AACGATAACCGTGATAGCAGTGAAATCGGTGAAAATGGTGATCACGATTTTCCTGGTGATCATTGGTGACGCTAGTTAGCGCAGTCATTTAGTTGCGCAAACAGATTATCACTAACAGCGTTATAAAAAAAAAAATGAAAAGAAAATGGTCATTTATTCCGTAGCCTTACTTCGCTTATCAAAAATCAGTAATTATTACATAAATATGAAAAATATTGTTTTTCATTATTTATTTTCTTAAATTGTGTTTAATGTTTCACTAATTAAGGAAAATAAAAGATAAATTTTGTGTATTTTGGAATTTCTTTCGTGTTTCAAATTCACAATAAATAATTATTGGAAAATTCTTTTCCAGAAAAACAAAAAGCTGCGTCTCATACGATTTACAAATTTGTCTAAAATTGAAGAAACATTTTATTTTACAAAAAAAAAAGAATTGATTATTATATAAATTTATTAATGAGATCAAATTTAATAAACATTTTATTTTTTTATATTATTTATTTACATAAGGCCATGCAACTTCGATTTTTCGGTTCACGTCACCCGGCTGGTTCACTTTTTCAAAAAGCTTATATATAAAAAGTTTATCATGTGACACTAAAGTGTAAATTTATTGGTAGATTAAAGCTTTATTATATTATCATTATGTATAATTCTTTTCTTACGACTCATTAGTTTCAACATTTCTTTGTTTATTGGTTACAAATTTCTCCTCCTTTTTTTATTTCTAACTAATTTGTTGCATTCTTCACAATATGGAAAATATTCATCATAATTTATATGTTCTTCATATACTACACCACAATTAAAACAAAGTGCTTCTTTATATAATTCACTTGAATAATATGAAGCTTCAATAGAACTATTGCATATTTGAGTATTATTAACTTTAATAATAGAGAATAATCTTTTCATAGAATCATTTGTACTATTAGAATCTTGCATATTTGTAGAACTAGTTAAGTCATAAAAAGTATTATCACATATATATTGAATTCCATCTAAAAATCTTATTAATTCTTTTTTTTGTTCTGAAGATAATTTTGATTTTGAAGAAATTACATTCATTTATCACATTCTTCACATTGAATCAAAGTGCTATTATTTTTGCACTAGACTTAAAGCCCATTTCATTCTTTGACTTCTTTGTTTCTTTTAAAGAAAATCTAAATTCTTCTGTAGTTTTCTGACCATATAATCCTTCAAACTTTTATATTTTTTACCATCTATTGTTGGAATTGGATCAGGAAAATTATAAGCTTTAAGCCAAATTTAGAATTACATCTCACAGATTTACATATATTGCAATCTAATTATCAATACTTTTTAATTTCAAAAAAATAATAGCATGACCTACAACAATGATTGTAAAATTCTAAAAACTCAGATTTATTTTAAATATTTTTTTTAGAATTATCAATCAAAAGAAGTGAGTTCTATAATGTAGTTATTTTTTTATCTGAAGCTACTTTAAAAGTATCAAATAATTCTTCCTTTAATTTAAGTCTTTTAATTAAGTTTTTCATTAATTTAATAGTAAGATATAAATTATTTAATAATTGCTCTTTTAATTCTATTGAATTACAATATTATTATGTTACACCTAAAAATGATATACAAAATGATCTACAAAAGTTAAAATAAATGATAATTAGATTACCTAATTTGAAAAATAAAAAATGTAAATCATTTATCTGTTTAATTAAGTAATACAAATACAAATCCTTTTATTATTACATAAAATTGATCATTTAATCTATTTTTAATTTATTATTATTAGAATATATTTTATATAAATAAGTTTTATAAAAAAGAAAAAGAGAGAGTAAACTTGTCTTATAGTAAATTTTTAAGGAATAAATTGTTTTATATAGATGCGTTAACAGAGGCAGTACTAGACTTTTGTTTATTAAATAATTAATTACTTACATTTCATCTAAAATTTCTCATTTATCTTTATTTTTTTATCTTATATCTTTATTTTTACTCTTCTGTATAAAGAAAACCTTCTGCTAAACTTTAATATTGCAGATGATTTACCCATAATTTAAAAGAATTAACATAATAATATTTTATAATTTCTTCATATTTTTATCCATTTCTACTTTCATTAGTCTTATACACTATAATCTTAAATTTAAAATAGATATTATATATTCTACAGGATTTTTTAAGAATATTTTGATGATATACATATTACTATTAATAAATCTAAATCTAGTGTAAAAAATAAGGCAATTAAAGAAAATTAAACTTATAAATAATTAATTTAATAATTAGGATCACCATATGTATAAATTAATAAAAATGGATTTGCTATTCATTATTTATAAGTTAATTATATAATTCTGAATTATGTTATATTGAACAAGATGGTTAAAAAATTGGATTATTTAATCTTATATAAATTTTATCTTGATAAAAAGAATCTTCTATAGATACTAGTATATTACAAAATATTATAACACTAGAAATAATTTTACATTTTTTAAAATTATGATCACTAATAATAAAGGATTTATTATATAAAACTATTACTTATTTTCCTCTTTCAATAGCAGCAACTGAATAATCTGATTCTCTAACCTTATATCTGTGTTTATTATCTATAAAAACTAATTATGAATAATCTTTAAAAATAATAACTAATTCTTTAAGATATCAAAATAATGCTGAAGTAATATGATTACTTCTTAATTATCTGCTTTGTATTATATATTTAGCATCTAATTTTCTAGTATATTTTAAATTAGATAAATAAGTTGGATTTTGTGACTAAAATTAAAGTTTTAACTATTATTCTGATAGTATTTCTATATTTAATAGACATAAATTTACTATTTGATGATGTAAATCACATATTAAGATAGCTTATGCTAAATATTAAATTATATTATGTCTTTTTTCATTTACAGCTATTTTTTATTTATAATATTTTCAAAATATTTTGGATATAACTTCAAAAAGTATCAAAATTATTTGTTAAATCTCTATTAAGTCATTTAAAATCTAAAGTAAATTCTAGATTACTTAATTCAATCATTATATCAATTCTTTTATCTATATTTTAAGAAGCTAAAATTTTCTAATACAAAAAATCATCAAGTAAATTAAAAATAATATAATGAAGTCTTGATTTTTTACACTTTTTTATATATAATTTAAAATTATCAATTAATTCTTTTTTCATTGCTTCAATATAAAATATCTTTAATTGACTTTTTAATTTTATTTGAATTTCATAATTTTTATTAACTATTTCTTTTCATTAGCTTCTGAATCAATTTTTCATATATATATTACATTTTGAGTTAATTCATAATGGTATTAATATAATTTAACTTTAAATAAAAAAGTTATATTTAATCCTTCAATAAATCTGTACCTTTTTATTCTTTCTTTAGAATAATACTCATTTATATTAATAGATCTTAACATTCTATTTCTTCTATTTATTTATTAATAAATGATATTTATATATATTTATTTAATTATATAAAATATTTGCTGAAAAAATTTTAATAAACTCTGCGTTTATTTTATTAACTATAAGAAATAATGAATTTTTTATTTCCTTACTTTAGATTTGTTAATATTCAAATATTTTGAATATTTAGCTAAATTTCATCAAATTTAGTTAATAATTCTTTTAACTAATTAAATATACTTTATAACATTCAGTTTAATTTAATATAATTAAGTATTTTTTTGCTATATTTTTAGAATAAAAGATATAATTTAATAAAATTATATTAAAATTTATTAAAAATCTGCGAAATTTAAAAAAAGATAAATTATATCAAATTTATAAAAATAATATAATTATATTAAATCTTAATAAAATATTAGTAAACTAAAGTTTTAAATATTTTATCAAATTAAAAATAAGTTTAAATAAACAATTTTAACTAAATTAACTTTAATTTACAGTATTGATCCTTTTAGTAAAAAGTTTATCTGATACAAATAATTAAAATTTTGAATAATAAATCTTTTTAATTAATCATTTTACTATCTAAAAAAAAAATTCAAAATTTATAGGATTAGACTTTTACCTTATATTAATATTAAGATGAAGAGATAAATTTTATAATATATTCATAAATATCAGATATTTCATAAATTTTAAGTTAATGATTTATTAATATAGAGATTTTTCTATCATTTAAATTATGTACTTAAAATTAATCTCTTTAAAATAATATATTATATTCTCTCTATTATTAGATGTAAATAAATATTAAATTAGGTTTATAATTAAAATTTATTAAGCTTTATTACTTCTTTTATTTTACTAAAATTAGACCTAAGTTTTTTTTTTGCAGAATATACAGGAGCATAATATAATATATAAAATAATGTATTATAAATTTACATAAAAATTTTTTAAATTTTTAAATAAAAATCTATATAATTGATTTTATATTAATACTTTAGTATTTAAAAGTAATAATTATATTAAAAAAGATTTTGAAAATATGAAAATAAAAAATAAAATATATTTTTGATAGAAAATCAACATAGAATAATATATAGATAGAAGATAAAAAAATTTATTATTTTATCATTAATAAGCAAAAAAAGAGTTTAAAAAAATAAAAAACTTAAGAAAATATAAAAAAATAGAATATAAAAATAATATAGTTTAAACTAATTTAATAATTTATTTTTATTATTAATAATCAAATAAACTATAAATACAAGATTATAAATTTGATATTTTGTATCTCATTTTAATAATAGAATAAATCAAATTTAATAGTTGATAACTGATAAATTACAAATTTAACATTTTGTATTTTATCTTAATAATTAAATAAATATATAGTAAAATATCTAAATTATAAAGTTCAGTACTTCGTATTTTATCTAATAATTAAAATTGGTAAATAAATTATAGTATATTTTAACAAGTAAATGATTGTAAAATCAGTACTTTATATCTTATACTAGCAATTAAATAGGTTATTAATAATAAAATTACAAAATTATTTTATATTTCATATTAGTAATCTAATGGGTTATAGTTATAAATAGTAGAATCGCAAATTTAGCATTTTGTATTTATTTTGGTAATCAAATAAGTTAGATATAATAATGCATATTATTTTCTAATTTTTTAATCAGCTGATTTACTAGATTAAATCTTAAATCAGAAGAAAACAAGAAATTCTAAAAAGGTTTTAAAAATGTATTTTACACATAATTTTTTAAATAAAAAAGTTACAAAGTAATATTATATTATAATTAAATTTGTCTATCTTAAATAGATTATATCTGTTCTTAAATAGATAATAAATATACTAAATAGATTATGTTCATCCTCAAGTAAATTAAATAAATTATATCTATTCTTAATAACTTAAATAATTTAAATAATATTATTTATTAGATTTAATACTATTTAAATTTTAAGTTTTACTAATATTAAATTTATATTTAGAATAGATAATACAGTCTGGTATTTTTTCATATATAGTATTTCCAAATATAGCAATAATTTACATTCTAGAAATCTGATGAAATTCAGTAATATAGAATTTTATTGACTATAAATTATTATATGTAACAATTTAACATATAATTTAATAAAAAAATTTTTAACAAAGCAAAATGATAATACAAGATTTTATAAAATCAGAAATGTCAATTTGCAAATATTTATTGATCATATTTTGGAATTTCTGATTTTGTTTTTAAATTATTTCATTACTGTTAGTTAAATCTCGAACTTCTTGTAGAATAACTAATAGTTCATCCTTTTTTTTCGATTTTAAATCTTGAAATTGTGGCCAATTGATTTTATTTAAAAATCCAATTAGTGATTCAATTACCAATATCAGCTCTTTCTTCTTCATTGAACTTTTCACTGATTGTATTTGCATTTTATCAATAGTAACAGAAATAGAACGAGTAAGTAGTAGTTTTATTAAACTTAACTTTTTTTTGATGTAATTTATATGTTGGGCTTGAGCTGTAATACTAAATGATTTTATTTCTTTACTCAATTTATTATATCCATCCAAACTTTCAAAACAATTATTATTTTCATATGGATTTAGAAAACTTTTTTTTCTTAACTGAATTCAAAACCGTTGTGATTCTATCTTATAATTTAGATGCATTTGTAGACTAATACTTTCAGTATCTGCATATCTGATTATAGAAAATAATCTCTTTCATAACTACTATCAAGAAAGAAATGATAAATATCACAATTTAATATTATCAAATTTATTATTTTTACTTTGATAAATTTCATATAATTTCTTGCTACAATTTTCTAATGCTTCTGAGTTGGTATAAGTAGGATGAGTGTCTTCAGCATTTTATTAACTTCTTCAAATATAGCATTTAATCCTTAATACTGGTTTGATTATCCTGACTGTAATATAATTAAATTTAGTTTATTAAATTGTCAGATTTCAGGACAAAGGCGTATAAGTTATTCTTTATTAGCTACTTCAATTTCTTGATAAATAGGATGTCATCTTGTAGACCAAATAGGGGTAAATACTCTACACGCAGCTGATTTAAGTAAGGGCTAATTAAGTCTAACTCTAGTATAAAAATTTATTATGGCTTGCAAATACAAAAAGATCTAAAAAAATAAGTATTAGTTTTTTTTTTTGAATATTTGCAATTATTAAATTATAAATTACTAATATATTTATTAATATTTTAATTTATATAGCTCGTCTTGTTGATTTTTAATCCAATTAAGATATCCAGTAATAGTTGAACTAGGATTTGAAGCAACATAAGGCTAAACTAATTCTATGGTCATTGCGTGCTGATAAATATTAAAAATTGAATCTCACACTTTGTGATGATCAGCATACTTTTTAAAATATCCTAATTAGTTTTCATTTTTGTATCCTTGACATTGTGCAAAACATCATAGATCAATGATCCTAAATTTTATATTATGAAATTATAAGATCAGATTAATTTAAAATAGTTTAGAATTAATTATAACTTGCCAATTTAATTTCACAAAGGATTTTAATATATTCATCTTCTTATAAAGCAGACTGGGTATTAAAAGAATTTCTGGATAATCATTTTTAAATTTTTATACATAATAATAAGGAATTCTATCATAAATTACTGCAATCCATTTTCGTTTACCTTTATTAATTTTACTAATTTCTTTAATATATTCTAAGACTTTTTAGACATTCTTAATAGAATTTAGATTGATTGGTATAGGATCTGGAATAAGGATGTCAGATACATTAATAACTTTTTGGTTGGATCTTTGGGTTATACTAATTGGATTAATTGAATTTGTAAACTTTTTGAAAGTATCTATTTCAGATTGATAGGATTTAAAAATTAAAGGTTTGATTGTATATTTTTTTCAAATATTGTTTGATCAATTACTTCTTGAGTTTTAGCAAATATAAGAAATTTCATATTACATTAAGAATATTTATATTTTGAATTTTCGATATTATATTTATCACATTTTTAACACTATTTCTATTTACCTATTTTCATATTTTGATCAGTTATTAAATTATTAATGACATTTATATCTTTATTTTTCTCTATACATGCTTCAGCTAAGATAATAGAAAGATAATTGCAAAGTTGTTGATCAATTAATGTTTGCATTTCAAAGGTAAGATCAAACAGTTCTTCAATTTGTAATGCATTAAGAGAGGTTTTATGTAATCAAGGGTCTTCAAGATTTTGTATTTAATTAATAAGATCATAATTTAATAAAACAAAACTTGTAATAGTATAGTAAATAACTGTATTATATCCGTGATCTAAATAATTTTTTTGACCTTTTTATTTGTTATCAAATTCCATAAATACTAAACCTTTTAGAAATGATTGAGATTCATTAGCTAAATTTTCTTGCCATTTAATAAATTTAATGTAACCTCTAGTATTTATAAAATAGTTATCAATATCAATGATTGATTTAGATTTTGCAATAGAATATTTAATTGCCGATACCGCTAAATTAATAGCAGATACATATTTTAGGTGTCTTATTCCATAAATTATATCAATTGTTACAGCATATTTGAATAGCTTTTCACACTCATGTTGATTTTCATTTTTATTATAAGTGAGAATTTTTATAAATTTTACAACAACCAGATTTTGTTTAATAAGTTATTGGGAAGGAGGAGACTATTTAATTGAAATCTTTTATGATTATTTATTAAACTTAATATGTCATCATATAAATTTTCTCATTCTTTTTTAGCAATATCTATTATAACTTCAATACGATCTTTTTGATTAGCAAATTGGCTATTTAACTTTTTTTAATCTTTTATTTTCAGATAGTAATTGCTTATTAAGATACTTTAATTCATTAATTTTAGATAATAATTGCTTATTAAGATGCATTAATTCATTAATTTTATTTTCATATTTTAGATCTAGTAAAGTTACTTGAACTTCAAAATCATAATAAGCTTACAATTCATTATTATTGTTATCAGAAAGTTTCAACTTTTTTCTTTTACTTTCTTTATCTAAAAAAATTAAGTTATTAGCTTTTTTCAATTGATTAATAAAAGAATCTCTAGAAATAACATTATTATAATATTTTTTATATAAAGAGTAATTTTCTAAAAAATCAAGTAATGAATTTAATTCAGAAAAATAGTTAGCTAAAATTGTAATTTTATTCTTTGCTATTTCAGTTGTTGCATATCACTATCTCTGTTTTTTTTTAGTTTACATAGTACTAGTTAGCTTCCTGGATATTTATTAACAATAGAATTGAATATACAAGGTAAGTTTTTAGCTTTCGCTTTTGAAGTTGTCATTGCTAAATAATATATATATATATATAAAAAGTGTATTTTAGTCTAAAAATAATTTAAAAACTGGTTTGTAAAGCTTTATAGATTAGCGTGAATTATGAAATTATATACCTGAAAGAATATATTTCAATAGTTATTTTTATAAAAAAAAAATTATGTATGACTAGGGCATAAAATAGTACTGTAAAAAACAGAAATCTCTGGTTTTTTTGAAAATATCTGATAAATTTTTTCAAAACTGGATAATTTTCCAGATATATTAAAATGAAATTTTTACCAATTTTGCAAATTGATTATCAATTTTTATTGTCTATCAAAAAAAAAAAAAATTTTTTCAATAATTTTTTAAAAAATGTCAATTTTACAATATTATTCTAAAACTTCTAATGAAAGGTATTTGCTCTATAAATGTGATATTGATTTATTAAAATATAATAAAAATTAACAATTTTATAATAAATATTTAGTTTAGAAAGCAGTTCAGATGAAGGTAATTTTAATAATAACATTGCTGAATCTGCTGAACTTATAAATAAAATCAAACCTTTAATTCAAAAACCTATAGTACAGCATTATCAACCTTCTAAAAAACTAAAATTTAATTGTAAAACTGAAGTTTTTCAGTAAGAATAGCTAAGAATTTATCTATGGTTGGTATATGATACACCTAAAAAATTAATGTTTTGTTCAATTTGTAAAGCTCATAAAATGGCAAATCGTTTTGCAAAAGAAGGTATAATATATTATTTTATTTGTTTATAATATTTATATACTATACTTTTTTAAACTAATAAAATTTAATTAATATCTTAGGATCTAAAAATATGAAAGCTTTGGTTCCAGCTGAACATTCTACTAGTGATGATCATATTTGAGCAAATAATCTTGAACTCGTAAAAGTACAAATAAAAAAATTTACAAATAATGCTATTAATAAGGCATATGAATATACTTGTTGTCTGATGAAAATTATCTTCTGGTTAGCTAAAAATGATATACCATTAAATAAATTTCCAAATGTCATTCAACTTGAACAAGCTTTAGAATCTCAAAAAATTATTTCTACTTCTAATTCAATTACATATGAAAATCCTATATCTGGTCGAGAATTTTTATCTGCTATAGCTTTATCAATTGAAAAAAAAATTTGGCAAGAATTAAAAAATACTAGTTTTATTGGAATAATGATAGATAAAAGTACAGATATAGCATGTGAATCACATATGATTATACATGTTAAATATTGTATTCAAGGGGTAATAAAAGTTAAATATCTTAAGCTTATTCAGTTGCAAAGTAAAGATGCAGATTCAATTTTTAATGCTATAATTACACTTTTTGATGAAAAAGGTTTGTAAAAATTTATATTTTTCTTTATATTTAACAATATTAATTAACATTTTTTTAAAAAAAATATAGAAATAACATCAAAAATCACTTCATTTACATCTGATGGAGCAAGTGTAATGCTTAGAAAAAGGAATGGAGTTGCTGCAAAAATTGCTGAAAGGAATTCATATTTATTTACTACACACTGTATTGCTCATAGATTGGCATTAGCATGTAATTCAGCGGAAAAACACATACCTTTTTGTAAATATATGGAAGATATTATGAAATCAATTTATTCTTTTTTTAGTTTTTCAAGTAAAAGACAAGAAATATTACGACAATATTAAACAGTTTTAGATCATCCTATTTTAAAAATTTGACAGATTCACGAAATAAGATGGTTATCATGGTACGAAGCAGTGAAAAATTTATGTTTAACCATTGAACCTTTAATGAATACACTATTAGAAATGTCCATTACTTCAAATAGAAATCAAAAAGAAAGCATTATTCAATTATATACTCAAATTTGTGATTGGAAATTTTTGGCGGTACTTTTCTTCTTATATGATATCTTAGGTTATCTTAGCAATTTAAGTAAAATATTTCAACAACGACATATTCAAATTTCAAATATTGATCTAGTAATTGAAACAACGATTAATAGAATTAAATTGGAATATTTAGATTTTGATGATAATGGAAAACTATTACTAGGAGAAAATTTAAACAAATTTTTAACTGAAATACCATCAGAATCAAACATTAGTATTGGTACTCATGAGCTAATGTGGACAGAGAATTATGAATCAGATTTAATTGCTATAATTTCATCATTTCTGAAGCAGTTATTTTAGAATTGCAAGAAAGATTTCCGAATCGACCCTTATTAAATGCAATGAAAATTTTTAATCAGTTGATTTGGCCAGATGATAAGGAATTATTGGTTAAATATGGGGAGGATTAATTAAATATTTTGATGGAATATTATACGGCTATCATTGAAGAAGATGTTTTTGATGAATGGAATAATTATAAAGCAATAGTTTATGCTAATTATAAGACAACAAAGTTGGAACTATTACTCCCGAAATTGTTTGAAAATTATTCTGAAGATTTTCCAAATATACTAAAGTTATTGAGTATTATTTACTCAATTCCTTTTTCAAGCGTGGAATGTGAAATGGGTTTTTCAAGGCAAAACTTGATTAAAACGGATTTGCGAAATAATTTAAATAATGAAACTTTAAATTTGTTAATGATGATAGGGTTAGATGATGTAGATTTATTAGAATTTGATTTTAGCCGTGCTTTAGAATTTGGAATTTACAGTGTAAACGAAGAATTTAATTTCTTTAAATTTAATAAAGATTTATTATGATCCGGTAAATTTATTTGAAACCGGATATTTTTCCGTTTAATTTTTAAAAAATCCGGTAAATTTTTATGTAACCGGATATTTATCAGAAGTACTATTTTACGCTCTGACTGAACTACGAACATAGTAAATCATATGATCCGTAACGTGATTTAATAGCATATTAATTCGCAAATGTAATTAAGGATGATGCTCTAAACTAGAAAGGTGATGGTATCAATCTATTTTGGGATTGATAGGTACCCACTACCATCTTCTGAGGATGATTATATTTAAAGAATTAATTTTATATATATGAATAAACTAATTTAATTGGACTTTTCATCTCTCTTTATGGACCTATAATATTATTTTTAAACACCAATTATAATTCTAAATCATATCATTAAAAATCGTTTTTATTTAACTGTTACTATTTAGAGTAACAGATTGTATTATAAAATTCGTTATCGAATAAAAAATACATTTATGTCGATTGCAATTTCATACTTTAAATTTATCTTGGTATTTACAGATAAGCGAAATCGAGAATTTGTGGCGTCATTATTAGTTGGTCAATCGCTAATTCCTTTGATTGATTAAAAAGTTTTAGTTTTAAAATGGGACAATTTCCAAACGCCCTAATAATGATGTAGTGAAGTTACACGAATTTGGCATTTTTTTTTTAATATACGCGAGGTTGCTCATGACGTCAAAACACAATACGATGGTTTTGTACGTAAAAATCGTCATGATGGAATCATTCCTTTTAAATTATGTCCGTGCGCAAAAAAAAATACTTTTTGAAAAATTCTATAAATTTGATCAAAAAATCGCGCTTTCTTTTTTTTAAATAAATTCCAGTAAATTCATTTATTTTAAACAAGTAAAAAATTTAATCAACTCTTTAAAAATGGTTAAAGCAAGGACAACCGGAACAAGAAGGACTGCTAATAGAGTAACTTCTTTACCACGTCGTTTATTTTACAAGACGAAACGTGTTATTATGACACCTGTAAGAAAAGTCAGAACTCATACTGCCGGAACTACCACAGCTCCTACCACGACTACTCATAGAAGGGTTCGTTATTCGTTATCGTAATACATTTTTTTAAACAAAAAATGAATGATATAACTAACATGGTAATTGCCTTGTATCATTTTTAGAAACCATTATTCGGCGGTTTTACAAGAAGTCACAAAACTCCTGGAACTCACCCTGCTCATAAAAAAAGAAATCCCAATATGTTTGGATTCGCCAGAAGGAGAAAAAATCCTCATACAACCGCTCATACTACTACATCTCCTAAAAACAAACTTCGTGCTTTATTACTCAAAAGGATTTGATTAAATATGTCAATAACACATTATTTTTAATTCTTTTTGAAATTTATAAATTTCTTATGAACCTTTTCATTTTTTTTATTTTTTTTAAATAATATCGATATTAAAATGTAATTTTAATTTTATTAGTTTCATATGTATTTTTAACTTGCAAATAAAGTAATTACGTTTTTCCATCATGTATTGGTATACTTAAATTTATAATTTTTTCATATAAAATTATTTTAACTTTTTTCATTTTAATAAAAATAAAATTCAAAAATATTGTAAATAAAATTATAAATATCAAAATCAAATAAGAATCAAAATAAAATTTCATTTTTTTTAATTTATTATTTTTAATATATTTAAACAATTTATTTAAAGAAAATATTAAAAATTTATTAAAAATTTACACGTAAATTGAAAAATTAAATTCTTAATCATATAACATAATTTCCTTTATGTTTACAATTTTTTCTTCATCAAGGCATTAAGTACAAAAAAGGAATATAATTGTCAATTAAAAAGTAATTACAATGTATATCATAAAATGGAAAAATCACCGGGATGAGATTTTAATTAATGATTTTCGAAATAATACAAGAAAAACAAATCAAGGTGGAGCAAAATCGTACATCAAACATACAGCAAGACATGAAACCCTCTTCAGGAATGGCCTACTATTATTTTTTTTGCCTATATTTTTAAACAAGAATGCAACACGTTAACAAGAACGCAACCTGCATAGATAATCAGTTCTCAGGCTATTTTTCTAGTTCAAACAAATTTGTAAAATTATTAAAAAAAAAAACTTTGGAATTCTAGATGATTCTATATAAATTATGCTAGACAATTACCAGAATCACCACTACAATGGATAATTCCAGCACTGAAGGGGGTTTCATTAACAGGCCTAGTACAAAGATCAAAATTGGGTGTATTAAATTGCAATCCACATGACCCTGGAAAACTCCATTGAATGCATTCCGGATCAGCAAGACAAGCCTTACAACAATCCGTGTCAGTAAGAAGATCATCTCGGATAACGATAACTCCGCCACCTGTTATATCATGAATTTTATTTTGAAACCCTGGACCACCAGGAGTACTACAACATGTCGCGCATACAGTAACTGTAGGTATAATAGTGACCGTTTTTGTTGCTTTGCAATTTTTGCAATTATATCTGTCATTATCCCGGTAGTGTCGACGCTTTAGGGTTTCAGTAGGGGTGCAGGACTCAATGACAGTTACTGTTTGGGAGGAAGTTTCAGTAATTGTGCAAGTTTTATAATCATGATGGTGATTATGACGATTACAATTATGTTTATTATGATAGTGATTATGAGCATTAACAATAATAGTAAATGCCAAAAGAGCGATTAGGAATAGATTAAAAGTTTGGCGATTCATTGTTGCTACAATCTACGTTTATAGATTTAAAATATGGAAAGTTGACAGAGATTAAACGGAAATTCTAGCTCCTTATATAAGAAATCCAACAATATACGGTATTTACTGTAAGACCAATGCGGGTTACTTCGCAAATATTAATTTCATATTTTCATGTGTTTGTTCAAACTTTTATCATTGACCATTTAAAATAACGAATTTTTTTTACCGAAAAGTATTTGGAACAAATCAATAATTGCAGGTTTGTTTGTAGTCAGCATGGCTATAAATAAATATAATAAATTAGCAATCTTGACCCACCTATGGTTAAGATTATAGGTCGTACTAAACACTAATTAAAAATAACATATACTCTGCTTTACATAAATTTTTTTCTCTTTTTAGAGGATCTCCGATGTATCATGGTATTGGTTCAAAGTATGTTTATTGAATTTAAACTTATAATTAGATCATGCCTAAATTAGGTTCATTGGATTTTTTTCTTATTATAGGTAAGAAAAATACATAAATTACCGACGAAAATCATCCGAAAACCCAAACTATTATCACAAGCAAGCGAATGAATAAATTAATACATTAAAAAAATGATAAAAAAAAAATAATAAAAACTACTAAAAAAACCTAAATCCAAAAAAATTATTCTTCTTCTTTAATCAATTCTTCGTCATCAATTTCTTTATCTTCATAATTTTCATCATTCAATATTTCTTTATCATCATCTATAAGTACCGTATTCTTCCGAAAATAAGCAACCCCCGAAAATAAGCAACCCCTAACATTACTAAGTATCCGAAATTAAGCAA